ATTGTCGTATTGCAAGTCCAGGATCAGTAATAGTTGTTCTTAAGTAAGGTTTATGGGTTCTTCTTTAAAGAAAGGAATTTCTATACACTCATTTAGTGGTAGCTCTGCCTTGATTGTAAGCTTTTCAGTCTCTGAACTGGTTGGTTAAATGGCAAAACTACTTTTGTTGCATTGTTGCTGACTCCTTCTTAGATCAGCATTATTACTAATAAATAAATGTTCTCTATATGTGTCAGTGTGTGTTGTTACATAGAAGTGTGAGCGCTTACTCCAAGCTGACTTCTATGGTTCAGATCAGTTTTCTGTCTCAAAGTGGTGGCAGAGATAACAAATAAGCACATGCATGTGTGTTACAGCTGTGTTAGGAGAAATTGCTTTCCTGACAACAGGTAGTTGCTTGTGCTCATAAGTAGCTCATTTGCTCATCTGTGGAGTTGTGATCTAATTAATAAAAGTAATCTAGAGACTTTCTTCTGTCTGTGGCCAGGAAACCATAGGCACCAAGGACTTCATGATGAGCCATTTCCAGGTTGAGTTTGTCAACCAATGTGCACTTGAGAAACGGTGAGAACAGTTTCAGCTGCCTCACAGTGTTTTTGTGGATGGTTACTGGAAAACATGGGTAATGCATCATTTGGACATTGAGAAATAGATGGCAGTGTGGATGGGTCAAAGGAAGTTGTCCTAAGGTCACCAGGAGCTCTTCACAGTTCACCAAGAGCCTGCCCTTGGTTTAGCCAGTAGGTGATCACACATTCCCACTGTGTTCCCAACAATTGTCAGAGCTAGCATCGGCCTCCATAAGCATCAACCTATTCAATAGTAAAAGACCAAATGAGAACAGCTTACAAGAGAAAACAACTGGGACTTAATAACCTGTGTAAATACATACGTTGTGTTGCAAATGAATCAGTGAAGCCCATGCCATTGTTTCCTATGCTGTGTCTCACCTGCAGATGCTGTATGGTGTAGACATCCTGCCAGTGCTTTCATGGGAGGCACTTTCCTCCGTTAACCATTTTTTGATGGTGGGTGGGACCACCAGAAATTCTGCAAAGGAAGGTTATATTGAGACATTCTGGTAGAAGCTGTACTCTAGGGTTTCCAGATGGCAGTAGCATTAGTGAAGCCCCCTTGATTCATACCTGACCAGGTCTTTTAATGTAAAAAAAATGTATTCGCATCAAATACAATGTTTTGTTTCTTTCTTTCTTCACACTGTTTTCAAGGTCATTGGAAGACATTTTAAATATAGAATTGATTTTAAATATAGGGAGTTCTTGATTATGTTATTTTTTTTTTCAATTAAGTATTTAGAAAACCATGATTTAAGTTGTAAATAGAACAGTTTTCAAATATATGGTTAAGGCTAGGGGTTTATATCTAAATATATGGTTAAGGCTAGGGTTTTAAATCTGTGTCCCACAGGCTATATGCTGGTGTGGTTGTTGAGGTGGGGGAAAGGTATTGGGTGGTGGGTTTTGGAGAAGGAGTGGTTTGGGTTTTTTAGCCCAACAAAATAAAGGAAGTTTTCAGTTGAGTGTCCGTCTTGTTCTGCAGAGGAAACTTGCAGGATAATGTTTAGGGTTGTTAAAGTCATTAGAGGTGAAGCACACAATAATGGCCAGCCTATGTTTGTACAATTGGAGGATATTTCTCATAATGAAGGAAGTCTCCAAGGTCAGCATCTACAATACCCGGAGAAATTACATCACAAAGCCACAGCTGCACTAGCCTGCTCTCTTCCTCTGCTTCACCACCCATATTTTATTTTTGCACACTATTTCTCAGCATAAGTGTTGCTCACATCTCTTGCAAAAATACCATGGTCTTGACTTGGGCTTGTGTTACTTAGCTTTTAAACACATCCCACCCCACCTTCAAAAAAAGAAATCTGAAATTTTTTTTAAAAAGTTTCATTACAGTCTTCTTATATCCTGTACATTCCCAAACTCCATTTGTCTAGCTTCTGGTTTTGCAATGACAATTACATTGTGCTGTGATGATGGCAGCAGCAGCACCTGGATCTAGTCTGGACCTGTGCATTTTAGTTACCTCCTGTCATGTGATGGCAGTGGGCATGGCAGCTCACACCTCTGTGTTGAGCTGTGTGTGAAGAAACAGGCTCTGGGCTATTTTAGAAAAGTTTGCATGAGAAAAGGTTAGATCTTAATTTTTACACTCCCTTTGTGTCTCCATTTACTATGGAAATTAATGTTACTGGTACATGAAACACCATTTAGAAGCCTTGGATACAATCTGCTTCTTTCTTGGCATTTTTCTTTTTTATGTGTTTCTACACATGATACTTTAGTGCAAGGAATCTCTTTTATAATCGAGCTTTTTTAAAGCAGTACTTTTCAGGAGTGTTTGCTTGGTTTAGCTGTTACCAAACCATTTACATTGATTGTTAATCTAAATTCAGTTCATCTTATAATGAAAAGAACAAGGACACTCCTAAGAAGCCTACCTGCTAATTTTGTTTGTTTTCCAACCTCCCGGTGAGGTTTTCTGTTGTTCCATCAACAGGACAGCAAAGTGAGAGGTTGCTCTACATACTTGCCATTGCTGTAGAATTTACTGTGTTTATACTCAAAACTGACTCAGTGCTGTTAAGTAAGCCAAGTCTTTCCCTGGCTTCAGGTTGTTCTGAATCAGTCTATAAACCTAAAACTCAAAGCTGCTTCTAACAAAGAAAACAAAACATTTTTCCTTCAGTTCCTAACAGGACTTGTGTTGTGGTTTAAGCCTGTTCACATCTAATCATGTTCACCAGTGATTATTCCAAGCATCATACGTTAGTGTGAAATCACCTAGTATTCAATATTTCCTTCATTGCATTTGGTTCATCTACAATTATTGCATTTAAAAAGGGCGGCGGCGTTCTGCCATCCCTGCTCTCTCACTCTGCAATTGGGAATGGTGGTTATGAAGGGTTGAAAACGTCATCCAGGTGATGAGGTAACCCCTGGTATTTAAGGAGGTGAGAATAAACACTGATCTTCTTTTAGGTGTAGACAGGTGTAAGATAGGTTGAATCGGACAAGTTGAAGGAGGATTTTTAAAGCTGAGAACATGTGTTTTGGAAGGTGTGTTAGATGTGTTGGTTATAAGTTGCTCATCCTTGCCCTCCTCTGCATTGTGGCCAACACTTTACTTTATTTTCCCAATGGCGAAACAAGATATGCTTCAGAGCATCACCTCAGCAAATACGTGGAGTGCCTTCATGGCATTCTAGGTGGAGGCCTTCTGGTAAGTAATGACCTAGCGTATTCTTTCAGGTTTGTTTTGGAGGTACTTGGTACTGCTCTTTCTCTACTGGTTACCTGAATTTATTCATCAAATATCTTGTCAACAGGTGTCTCTGGAGTTCTATAAAAAAGAGTTATATTATCCCATAGCTACTATTGCTTACTATTGATTATCTTAACTACAACATTATCTCACTTTAAAGCTGAAAAAATCATGGGGTCTAGGGCACAGAATCCAAATGCAAAAGTGAAACCAAGCCTCTCAGCAGGTCGGTTTGCATAAAGTTTTTGTTAAATCTTAAATTTTTGTTATGTTATTAAACCACTCTCCTTTTAAATGCCCCTAATGCCTAAATGAGCATTTAGATAAAATTCCTTAATTTCTATTATATGACATGCTGACAGGTATTTCTCTGCCTTAGCTGTTTATTGAGAGGAACTGAGTGGTAGTTTTCAAACCTTTGCTTTTGAATAACAGAATGCAAGGACTGAGTGTGTTCATTATAGGATGTCATTAATTTGAAGCTCTTATTTTCTACCTTTTCAGTTTTGTGGACCACACTGGAGCATATTTAAGACCCCTAATTCCAGGCTTCCTTTTTCATCTGCTTTTAGAAATTCTCTTAGAAATAGGTTACAGATCCCTTCTGGTTCTTACCACTCTGTGATTCTATGATCTCAAGGTGTCTGCAAATGACAGGTTGAAAACAATTGCATGCTAAGGTGCTTTGTGTTGTGAGAGGTGCTTACAGCTGTGTTACAGTCACAATGGGACCTGGAGTGGGCTTTGCAAAGACTGGTTTTTACACACAGAGTAACACAAGTGAAATCAATGGAACTTCTCCTGCAGCACACTTGTGCAACCTCTTCTGGACTTGAAGCATTGGGGCTCAGCAACAGGTTTGAGTAAGGGCTGACAAGTATACGTCTGTTCAACGGGATAATTCTTATTCTAGTTTCATGTTAAGTAAATCTCGGGCATTTGCAAATAACTCTCTACCCTTCTTTATGGTTTTTCAGAGTACTCTTGGGTGTAGAGTCTTTATAAGTGGACACCATTAAGTGCTACTATTGCTGGTGGGAGGATCTGCTTTTAATCAGCTCTGTTCATTCTTGATTTTATGCTAAAAACCCTGGAGTATGGATGCTTTGTTTCTCATGGATAGCTTCTGCTTTGTTATTTGCGTTTCTGTTACTGGAAACTGGTTGTGAAAACTTGGAAAAAAAATAGATGTCTGTAATGAGATATTTGTTTGAATTGTGCAAAATTTCAGTAGACTTTCTACTCCAGTCAGACTGGTTTGTCACACAGGCAATGATGACTGCTCTTAAGTAGCAAGTATATTGGCAGTAGCTGTTTTTCAAAAATCTTTATTTGTAGTCCTCATTGGAATAAAGTTGATGCTTTCCCCTCCCCCTCAAGAATTTTGTTTACAATGACAGCCTGTAATGTGAACAGAAACTTTTAAAGCTGAAATACTTTAAAGGTAGCAATACCCAACAGTCTCTCTTTGTGCTTAAGTGCAATATTGCCACAAAGTGGCAATAGAAATATACCTGTCCCAGGGCTGGTGATGTCAGTGAGATGATAGCTAGATGCCTACTGTGTTAAATAAGAGTAAAGCTGAATTGCCTGTACAGTCTGACTGCCAAGAAGCAACATAAATGAATGCAATTTAAAGATTGTATTTTATCTGCCCTCTCTGTGCAACCAAAAGGAACAGTGTGGTTTGTTTGCTTCATACCCAGGTACTCATTCCAGCAGCAGTGTTCATTGGGCTTCACAATGATGACTGCTGTGAATGCTTTGGCCATGAGGGAGGTGGAAAGAGCTGTGCGGTAAGTGAGCCTGTACCCAGTCCCAGTCCTAGGAAATCCCAAAGACAAGGTGATGACTGTGCTGAAAGTTCACGTTTATGTCTGCTGTGCAGATACTGTCCTCGGTTCTGGCAGCCTTTGTTGGGATCCTTGGCTCTGGATACTGTATAACCATTTCAGCACTGGGCTTGTCTCAAGGACCATATTGTTTTACCCACCTAGAGAGAAACTGGATCTACCCTTTCACTGACTCCTCTGGAGGGTAAGTTATCTGTTTGTGAGGATGTTATCTCTTCCCAATGTACACATGGGCTTTCAGCAATGTCCAGTAACCATATACCAAGATCTAGTCATAGCTTTATCCTTCCCACTTAGTAAGAACTTAACAAACGGCATCAGTCACCCTCGCTGCTACAGTGTAAACCCAAATTCATAGAAATATATATATTTCTGAATCCATCATATATATGGTTCATGTCCACGAACATCTCAAACAAAGTACAAAGTTTTAGGACTTTGAAGAATTTACAAACTAGGAATAGTGGTTGTTAAGATATTTGTCTCATCATTTGTGTAACAGGCTTGCTTCTGAAGCTGCTTTGCACCAGCATAAAGTGGCACAATGCACACATTAGTGACAATGGCATAGAATCTCATAAATGAAACTTGAGAAGGTTTACAAGAATTTTTGTACACTGCAAGGCAGAGAGGGCAAGAAGCTCCTCCCTAATTATCCCTAATTAAGATTCTCCTGCAAAAAAAAAGCCTCAGTCTGCTATTCCCCATTAATGCACATAAATTCTGATGTGGATATCATGGCATGCTTTTAAAGTGTCTGTATGGTTGGCAGCCTCAGGGCTGTATCTAGCAACAGCTTATGGCTGATGCCAGACTAGAGGCAGTTGGAGTACTAAGAAGCCACATAAAGCTCTTTGCAGTAAAGTTTGAATTTTATATTTCACTTGTATCTCTCCCAAGAGGAATCATTCCTCCTTCTTCACTCCCCTGACCATGACTGAGTGTAGAAGAACTAGGCTGAGTCCTTGCTGAAGGCAAGTGCTGATGTTCTTAAGTCGTGAGTGAGCAGTAACAGCTGAAATACTGGAGTACCTCACCCAATTTGTTCTGTGTTTGGCTTATCCAAGTAAGCATGTGAGGGCCCAAAAACAGCAACACAGGAGAGAAAGCAACCCATTTGCCTCAGATCAGTGACTGCTATCTTTAGAAAAAAGGCCCAGTCCTGCAAAGATCTGTGGTTATTTTGAGAAAAACCTTTGCTCTTTCAGCTTTCTTGTGTTTGTGTCTCAGTTTAATCAGCAGCAGGAAATTCTGTCTTTATAGTTTAGATTATTTTTTAAAAAGAAATTAAGACTTAGCAAAAACATGTGGTTGATATTTCAGCATGTCCCTAAACCAAATAAACCTTGCATGGAGTAAACAATTGCTTTTTCTATCCCCTTAGGAATAGATTCCTAAGGGAACCTAGCCTATTAGAACTCTATAGAGTCTTAATATCCTCAGTGCAGTTACAGACTAGACATAATTTGGTTCTAGTAACTCTAACACAACGTTAATATACTTTTAATTGCTGTGTACAGGTACTTGTTTGAGTATAACAAGTGGTCTGAATGTCAGGAACCTCAAAACATTGTGCAGTGGAACGTCACCCTCTTTTCCATCCTCCTAGTTTTGGGAGGAATAGAATTCATTCTGTGCTTCATACAGATAATCAATGGCATTCTTGGAGGACTGTGTGGGTTGTGCTGCAGTCATGAGGAGGTAAGTAATTTGCAGATATACCCATGCTTCTCAGATGAACATGAAAATTGTTACTTATACTACTGTGGAGTTTTACTCAGCAGTTACTTTATAAGTATTCTTAAGCAACAGTTCCCTCTACAGCTGTTTCTAAAGCCCTGTTGTGATTAAAATTTTCATGTAGTGTTTGATCACATGTTTTCAGCTGTTTCCTTATCCAGTGACACATGATCATCAGCACTGTATAGCTGATATAACTGAGATACAGATCTCCTGGCAGTGCTGGTCTTTGCCTAAACCACTGTTGAACAGTGTGGTGCTTGTTCTAAGTGTTTTGTGTTAGCCTTGTGTTTTGTCCGCAGCAGCTCACAAGCTACTGACAATATGCTGCATATAATGAAAACTGCAGCATCCTGGCCTTACTTAGTGGAAATAAGAGAATTAAATTGCACATAGCTAACAAAATCTTCAAACAGATCTGGAAGGGTTTTGAAGGTGGATTTTTTTTTTTTTTTTTTTTTTTTTTTTTTTTTTTTTTTTTTTGTGAAGAAAAGAAATTTTCTCCAATTTTCTTTAAAGCTTTGTCAAATAGTTTGGGCATACTCCAAAATCACTCTCAGAGTGCTAGTGTCAGATAGCTGGATAGCACCATGGCTTCAAGTATGAACCACATATAATTTATATCACACACTATAGGTAAGCATGTGTTTCACATTTTTAATTGACACAGTTGAGTGTTGGGGCTCTTTCAAAGCTATTACTCTTTTCTTCTTCCTGTCTTCCTTGCTCTAACTACAGTATAGAAGAGCTATGCTATAGTTTTCTAAATGTGATCAGGTTAATTTTTGCATTTTTAGTTGGATACAATAGTAACATTTTTCCATTAATACGTTTCTTCCTTTTTGTCCCCCCCACAGGCATACGTTTGCTAGAACCTGACAATGCAGTGACATTGATGCATGTGTGTGCTGCAATGAATATACTGTGGATTTTTTTTAAAACATTCTGTGCATACTGAAATTCACATTGTTGTCAAACTGTGCTGTTGGCATAAATTTAACTGACTTGGGGCCTTTGTTGCTGGAGTCATATGCAGGTTTTCTACTAACCTGCCTGAACCGGAAGGCAAAATGTATCCTGAATGTCTTTGGTTCATTTCATCTTGGTACAGGCAACTGCTTTAACACATGTAACTAAAGTGGCGTTATTTATTTTTCTCTTTCTACTGACATAACAGCTCTGTACTTTGTCCTGCTTTCCCAATAAAGTTGCTCTTTCATTCCGATCTTGAAATGAACACAAACCAAATCTAGCCTGGCCTGGATAAAAGGTTTTGGTCAGCTGGACCAAAACTAAAGCAATAGTAAAATGTGGATGATTAAGGGCTTTTCAGGATTTTTCTGAACTTCCCCTGTATTTCACAAATAAAGATTTGTATTAAAAATACCCAGGAGGTGTCAGTGACTCCTTCCCTGACCATGCTGAACCACTGCTTGCCTGATCTTGGAGTAAAAGGCAGTGGTGTCATAAAAATGTGGATTTAATGCAATCAGGTTATAACCTGTTTTTCCTTTCCAGCAGGCTCTGCCAGAGTGGGAACTGCTTCCTTTCTTGGTTGGGCTCATTTAACTGAAACGGGTGTTTGTTCATCAATAAGGGTTCAACAATAGCTTTGGACAGATACAACAGCACATGTGGAGTCTTAGTCCTGGCGCAGGGCTGGTAGTTCCCAGCCAGGGAGCTGAGGGGGTCCCTGCACAGCTGAGCCCCTCCTGCCTTCCCAAGAGGGATCATCCCCTGATTGCTCCATTACAGGCCTGAGATAAAACAAGATGTGGGTATGACTCCTGTTTTTTACCTCACTCAGCAGACCCTCAGGCCTCCCAGTGTTCAAGGATTACAGTCCAAATTCAGGTCAGCAACAACAGATTAATCTGAAATATCTGACTTCACCAGTTATCAGCCTGAAGGCATTACTGTAAGGTCCTGGGTAAGAATCTCTGAAGTATAGCTTGTTGTCCATTAGACTGAAAGTTTCATCACAAGTACATCTGAATAATGTGCTGCCAACAGCATTGCTGGCAAAGCCAGCTTGGCAACATTGCTGCTGGCAATGGCATTTTTCAAGTGAAAACCAAAATGGGACATGCTCTTTATTTCAAAGGACGGAGGCTCAGTTTTGGAATTTAGCTGTTCATATTGTTCTTGAAAAGAAGCAAGTTGGTTTCTATTCATGGGAGAAAAAGAAGCTCCCATGGGTGTCATTGCATTCTTAGGCTATTTGTAACTAGGAGTGTAGTCTTTAAAGATAGCCAGAAATTTCAGGTGTATCTCAGACTGTCTGCACAGTTAAGTCTGCCCTGTACAAATACATACCTGAAAAAAAAAGTTAACTGTGAAAACAAAATTGTCCACGTATATCTACATCATCAAAAGAATTCTCAGATGAGAGTTTGTCTAGAATCTCAGGATATCTGAATTTCACAAGAGTATTTATTCACACCTAAATACATAGAAGTAATTGAGGGATTTTAATGCCATTTCTTGGTAGTGTCTATCCTTGTCCTGCCCTGCTATGGAAGGGAGGAAGGAGAATACGTGCATGCACATATGTATACACACAAAATTCCTTGCAGCTGTGTGGTCCAGTGCCTTTGTGTGTGAAGATCCACTGTTTGAAAAAATATATGTAAGGTTAAATGGGGTGCAGGAGAGAAAGTGGAGAAGGGAGTCCTCAATAGAATAATGTATAACTACCATGCAACTTAAAGATTTTTGCCTTTATTCTTGCATAAAATTACTTGTTTTTCTGGTACACACAGTTAAAGAACTGGAACAATTTTATGAATTCCAATACACAGAATGATTAGGCTAGGGTTTAGACTTGAAACTTCAGCACAAATGTATGTAGCACCAATAGATCCTTGCAGCCCTAATGCACAGCATTATTGCCCACTATTTGTATTGTCATGTAAAAAATCCCCAGCTGGATTATTTTGTTGCCTGGTGCATAAGACAGTGTTTTGAGAGATTTATCTGTTACATTGTGAAGAAGTGATTGGTTTAAATTTTATTCATTTCAGCTGGCAGAGAAGTCACTCACACAGAGTAAACATGACTTTTCGGTAACAGGCTTGGAATCAGCTCATGAATAATGACAACAATGGAAAAGTAGTGCTTGCAACATTTGGCAAGATGTTTGAGAAACTGGCTTACAGGTTTGTTTAATTCTTAGTATAAAATAGTTGTTCCCTATTCTAGTGGCATTGTGTGCCAGAAAAATAACCACACTGAGATTTGGTATTTGCAGAGCCCAGTTTAAAAACAGTCATGAAGCAGACTGCTGCAATGCAGAACAAATGCTGCTTCAGTCATAATTTCTCAAGTTAGCGTCTTCTGATCAGAACAGGTTATAATGGAAATAGCATCAAAGTTGATTATAAAATAAGATGCTTGCTACTAATTTTGGCCTTTGCTTTTAAGAAAATATTTCGGCCAATTATATGATCTTTGAGTTTTGTACTAAAAAAATCAGTCATGGGGATTGGATGTGCATGATTTTAATGCAGCTGTTTACTCTCTATGGCACGGTGTAGATGACATGAGTTCTGTCTCTGCCTATGAGTCTGGAAAGACAGGCTGCTACTACTTCTGATTAGAGGGAGACCTGAAAAAAAAGGGTCCAGAGTGATGAGAGAGTAAAACAGAAAATATGGGAAGATTAAGAATGAGGACTTCAAAATGAAACCTCCTAGAAAAAGAGGAGAGTCACAGCAGAGAACAGGTAGAAAAATGGTGTAATTTTGTGAGTACCACCATGCCCATTTCCTTGAGTGATCTCATGTTAAGTGATAGTATGGAATTAGTTACAACATGCAATCTGAACAGCTTTTATGAGAGGATGAGAGAAGCCTCATGTGTGAAGGGCCTGAAACAGCTCATGAGGAAACACAAGGAAAATATTTTGTGATGTCACTGTTTTTAAAATCAGCCTTCCTGCTTTTGATAGACTCACTTTTCCCTTTTTTTTTCTTTTTTTTCTTTTTTTTTCTTTTTTTTTTCTTTTTTTTTTTTTTTTTTTTTTTTTTTTTTTTTTTTTTTTTTTTTTTTTTTTTTCTCTGACACAGCTTTCCTATTGAATAAAGAATAAGGTCATTCTTGAGTTCTTTTCTGATGACTCACAGAGGGATTGACTGAAGGCTTGGGTTGTGCTGCGAGTGTTCAATCTGCCCTGGCTCTGTGTTACTGGGATAGTGTTTAGATGCTCAGGGTTTGGGGAATGATGACATTCAACAACAGGAAAGCTGTTTGATTTTGACTTTGCACATTGCAAAGAGCAGGCATTTTAGAATAACAGCCAGACCTTTTGTCCTGCGCAAGAAGTCACATGTACTTAGGTCAGGTCTGTAGCTGTGCAAGCTCAGCTGCAAGCACAGAATGAAACAATTGGAGAGATGGCAGTATTTCATTTGCAAAGCCACATAATGCTGTGGGAAAGAGTAATTGATTAAAAGTGTGAAAAGAAGTCTGCCTTGCAGTTTCTAACCAGGGTTATTTGGGCTTCCATACTCTCTGCAAGATTGCCCAGACTCAGCCTGCTGTTGCAAGACAGTAACACATTGGTACCCTCTTAAGGTTGTATTAATAAATCTCTGTAGTATGAGGCAAAGTGTGTCCTTCTGTACAAAGACCGGGTATATTTATCTTCTTACAGCCCCCTTTCCCACAGTTCAGTAAGGCTGAAAAACCTTTCTTCTGCAAACTGTGTTGCAGTTCCTGTCATGGGAAGGAGGACGTTTTTGAGCAGCCACTAGGAAATGAGAGCTTTGAAGTTCCTTCCTGAGTCTGACTCCTAGACATATTTCATTTGGAAGATCACAAAGGAGGATCTTTTGGAAGGGAAATGGCTACTTAAAGACGTGCTTAACACAGGACAGTGAGTTTACACAGTGATACTCATCTGTTATTCTGCTGTTAAGCACTTCAGTCCCTGGAATCACACCCCAGTTACTGGTTCCTGTGAATATGAAATGACTGAATCAAGCTGGGGAGGTCAAAACACTTCTTGTATTGAAAGACTTGTAAACTTTTGTTAGCTTAGAAGAAAAAAACTTCCAGAGTTCTTGAGAGATGGCTTTGGAGACATATGGAAACTGTTTGAGTTGCCTGCTGGTACCTCTTGCGCTTTGGAGTATTGTTGTGAACATCCTCCTGTACTTTCCCAATGGGAAAGCTCTGCATGCTGCCAGTTACCAGCTCCCCAACCATGAGTGGTATTTTGAAGGGATCTGTTTCTCTGGTGTGATGGTAAGTGCTCAGTCTATGGATTTTTAATGAATTGCATTCTACTGCAAATAATATTGGATTACTCTTCAGGAACTCTTCTGTAATTGCTTTTAAAAAAAGCATAAAAACAAAAACCACTGCAGGCAGAAAATAACATAAAAAAGAGTTAGTATACTGAATGATATGTTATGTATGTTAAGTGCAAATGATTTTGCAGGGTGTGCTGGGGTGTTTTTTCTGCTGTCTTTTTGTTTATATGTAATTTTTCCTTGTATTATGGAAGCAATCACTATGTTAATTTAATAACCTGAAGGTTGAATTAGAGCTCTTTCACCCAAATGAAAAAAAAAGAGCTTCTCATAATGGTTTCAATGTTTTGAAGAGCGGTATGCAGTCCACTATTTAGAGGACTGGACAGAGTTCACAATGCATCAGGTAATACTGTTGTCAGCCTAAATACAGAGAAGTGTCTCACTGTAATGAGTATAGTAGGACTTTCCCTGTTACATTTGTAATATGCTCATCTGCAGTAATGAACTACCACGGAGTTGCTAACTGCTCGTGCAATTCACCATGTTGATAAAGAGCTGTAGCCTCAGGAACAGAAAGTGGTTATGTGATCAAAGTTCATTGCACTCAATCAGTGCTTAAAAAGGGTTTATCTGCATAAGGGAGGTTTTTTTATGAAGGTGATGAACTGTTATTAAAACATTAGACATTCTTTAGAAATTGTGTATTTGTTTTAAAGCAGAAGAAAAACCTTCTGTTCTAGCAGAAGAGAAAAACTACCAGAGAGAAGATTCAAACAGAAAAACAATGGCAAATGTATGAAAAAATTAACTGCAATACCAGTGATACTGATATTTTGAAGCATTTTAGCCTTAAGACTATTACCAATTTATTAAAAATGCACATATCATTCTGTTACAAACCCGCAGCATGTGAGAGGACAGTGTTGCGATTCAGGAGTACTCTCTTCTCATACACCTCTTTTCAAACCTATGCCTCTCTGAATGGCAGTTTGTGATTCTGAAGCCCAGATCCTATTTATAAAAATTATTCTAGAATCAGGCTTAAATAATCCAATAATTTGAAAATATTACTTAGATACTTGACAAACAAATGAAAGTCTAAGTGAATTTAATCAAAAGTTTGCATTA